CTTAGCATGCTTCCCAGGAGAATGTGCTCCAAAATTTTGCCGGCTCCTGGGCAAGTCCTGTTGAGGACTTGAGGCTTCCTCAGTGGCTCTTGCCGCTCAGAATTGAGGCTCCTGGTCACTGTTTCCCCAATATTTCTTTTGATCATTAAAGTAGCTTTGGCTTGAAAAATACTTGGACTAGGGGAAAATATGTTCACTATCTCATGAGCCCTATCTTCAGATTATGATGGCAAATTGTACAGAGTGTTGTGTGTGTTTGCTTTTATTGGCCTGATGCTACTTGTCAGCTTTACTGCTGTAGGGGTAGAAAATACAACTTGCATATAGAGAAGGCCACTCTGTCAAGCAACCTGGAAAAAATCATGCCATTTAGAAACTGAAAATCTCTAAAGATTGCCTCTATAACCTCATCAAAGTTGTCAAGTGAATGGTCCTTAGGATTTAGAAAGCTGGAATAGAAAGAGAGAGAAAAGATCACTGGATCTGTATTTGTGCTGTTATTCCACTGCTATGTTGTGGAGGAAGATGACAGCCCGCAAAAAACCCAAAACCAACAACATACAGAAGGTATTTATGGGGATATGATGACAAATGACGGAGATCAGAGCAGACAAAATACATCCACTTTCACCTCTTGGAAGCTATACAAGCATTAAGGATTGAGATCATCCAGAAGTCCCAGACATCATTTATGAAAACATCAAAAGACCCAGAAACTCAAATTAGATTGCAGAAATTGAATAAATTAAAACACTGCATGTGGCTGCACTTCTAAGGAAGACCAATAGCTACTACAGTAGTTCAGCCAAAAGCCAAACAGATACCTTCCCACAGTTTTGAATGTGAAGACACCTCCTTCCAAGGTACAGGAGAGAGAATGCAGTGGTTTTAAAATGCATCTGGAAACACGGAAGACTTTCTCAGCTTAGTTTACCCATATTTGGTACACTTCTGCTGATAAGCTTCCCTTCTATTTGTTTGAAACTACATTCTAGTTGAGTCTCTATCTGATTTGGGGTGAGGACTTTCATCCTGCAAGGACAGATAATTCCCTGTGGGAGCTGGGTCTCTAAACAACTAGGGAAACTACCAGACGCTGTTTGGTCTGCTATATCAGACTGTCATACCCATGGCTACACCCAGACCCTGCAGGGTAAGAAGCACCATGCTTCTTACAAAAAGAAATGACGTTTTCTAATTAGTTTATTTCCCATCTGGGAGTTTGTCCTCCATAATCTGTTTCAGATGCAGGAGTAAAACTCAGCCAAGCTTGTAACAGAAACATAGTTCATGTAGCTAGCCAAATCCCTAACATCAGAAAGACAAGGGCTATTTGAGTCTACCACTATGCATTGAGTTCCTGAAATAAGACCAAAGATCCAACAATGACTCAAGAAGGATTTCTGGAAAACTTGGCTTAAAGTGTCACTGCAAACTGTTGGAAATAAAGACAGTTAAACTCACATTTTTGATCCTGTCATGGCTGAGGACCTCCATTTACCCAAAGAAAAGTGAGGGGGTAAGAGGCATCTGGGTGCCCAGGGTCCTCCTTAGGTAACTCTCTCTAGCAGTTTGTCTGACTTCAGCCTTCTCATAAGGATGGCAGCCAGTGCACTTACTGCCCTAGAAGAAGTTATTTTTTCCAGTGTTCTTTTCCTGACAAGAAATAAGGCAATGCAAACAGCAGCATCTGCTACTTCATCAGAAGGACAAGCATCTTCCTTTGGAGGGAAGGGACAAAATGCCCATCTAGATTGACCATTCCTGATGTTTCCATCCTTGATTTTTAAATTTTGCCAGGTGCTACACATGATTCAGATGGGAAAGCAAAGCCAGGGGATAATTTCCCTCTAAAATTGAATGCAGCCCTGAGACTGCAAGGGAAACTAGGAGGATATTTAACTGAGTTGTCAGTTTAAGAACTGGAATACAGTTTGACACCTATCAAGCAAGCTCTGTCACATGGAGGAACAGTGGAGCACTTGTCACTGCAGTGACAAAAAAACAAAGGGAAGTACAGGCTGGGCTTGAGCTCTGACATTTGCCCAAAGATCTGAAGCTAACAATTTATATGGTAAAGCCATTCTCAGACTAAACTGTTAAAAAAAACAAAACCTGAAGAGCGAACATCTAAATAAAGTATGGGCATAAACGAGAGAGGAAAGACAACTCACCAGAAGCCCATGCTGAGGAAACCCGAGGCAAAATGTGACTTGTACTAAACATTGTCAAACATCACAGGAAAGCTGATACATTTTATTTTCCTCTGGTGTATCAATTAAGACTAATTTTTTCTGGCTTGTATCACAGGAATGAGAAGACAAGAAAGAGTCTGTTACCTTGAATGTCATCATTGAAAGTGCAATACTTGTTACGGTACTTATTCAGGAGGCGGAATGCATTAGCATTAGCAAAATCCTCAAATTGAATAAGGCAGTTCATGCCATACCTAGAAAGACAAAAAATTGTGCATTACATTAAAAATAATACATAATTATATATTAAAAAGCTATTAGCATTTGCAGTCAGCTTCTGAATACAAGTATTATGTGATTTATATATTTCCTAATATGTTTCTGCTATATTCTGTATCTTTACATTCATATAAATTATTTAGAAGGCATAATCAGACTACTAATATGCTTTACTTAGTTCTAAGAATAAAAGACCAGGAAAAAAGGCCTTCATCTCTCTACAGACATCTCAACAGTAGTCTCCACTGAGCAATCAGCTAGTGAGCAAACAAAACTGGCCCCATAAAGAAGGTAGTAAAAAGGTAACACATTCAGAACACGGATTTTATTTTATTGTCATTATGCAAGTGAGCAGCATGTCATCACTCTCAACATGATGCTCAACCATTTTTATTATAGAAGAGGTCTGTATCAGAAACAAAGTTAATCTAGACAAATGATAACCATGTGAGAACACTTTAAGGAAGGAAAATGATAGCTGCAAATTTGATTTGAGTTACACTTGGCTAATGTATACTAAAAACTTTGGGTATATGCAGAAACTAAGTTACATTTCTTTCACCTACTGTTTCACTGGATTGCCAAAACTGAATTTCTCATATAAATAGTAGATGTTTCTTAAACACTATGCTAAGAATCAATGTTATCATTCACTTGAATGTTTTCTCATCCTTGTAGCTAATGAAACAATTAAAATTGACATTTTCTATAGTACTTTGAAATCTGTATACTGTATTTTGAAAATATAGTATGCAGTTGCATTGGATGAACAATTTCTACCACTTAGCTGATATGACTAAGTCAGCTCAGAAGGGGTACAAGAGTAAGTAACTTTTGACAAACCTTTCAGTAATGCTCTCAAAGTCAATGCAAATCACTACATTTCTTGGAAACAATTTACTGTGTTACTTTGCTGCCTTGGACCCACTGTGTACTAAGGCTGCACTACCTAACAGGGTGCAATCAACAGCATATTTCTAGTACAGATAAGTGCCTATGCTGACTTAATGAGTCATAAAGCATCTGAAATACATCTAAAAAATACTGAAGAGAAGAATACAGGAGGTTGTTGTTTGGTTGGTTTTTTTGTTTATAAGGAAACTCCAGAATAACTATCAAGTTAAATATTGTTCTGGTATGCCAATAAGGTTACTCCTAAAATGAAAGTTAACAATAAGTTAATTTAATATTACTATTATGCATACTCCAGTCACTAGATGCATTTTGTAATGGCACTGTCTCTGGATTCCTTGCTTAACATTCCCACATGGCATTTTCAAACACTTTCTTAAAACAAAACAAGCAAAACCTGAAACACAGAACCCCCAAAGATCACAGACATTTCTAGACAAAAAATTATGTAAAGACTGAATTCAAGCTCACAGCACATTGACAAGAAGTTACGGGGTTTTGGTTTGATTTTCGGGGGTTTGTTTGCTTGTTTTGGGGAGGTTTTGATTTGTTTTTTGTTTGTTTATGGGGTTTTGTTTGTTTGTTTTTGGGGGTGGGTGGGTTGTTTTGTTTTGTTTTTTCCTGTGTCCAATCTCATATGGGGAAAAAAACATAAAACACAAAAAGTTTAAAATACAGGATTAGCACTAAAACTGTTGGTACAAGTTCGGGTCTGGAAATATGACGTAAACATTATTCCAACCTATAATAATAGTATAAAAAAAGTTCTTTCCAAAAAGTATTTTTTACTTAAATAAACTTAATGGCAATTTGCACAGACTAAGGAACCATTTGATTAAAACTTTAAAAAATATTGCAGTAAGGTATTGTTGTGAAATTATTACCAGTAGGGTCTAACAGAACACGTCCTCTTTGAGCTAAAGGAGGTTTTTCCTTATCTGCTAAGAGCACAAATCCAAGAGAGAGCTTAAGCAGTTCCTGCTTCATCCAGAAAAGCAGTACATACATGTACTGAGCAGTTCCTTATAAATTATCTTCTCTAATGTTAACAGAGTTTTTCTTTAAACCATACATGTGTTTGGCAACCATGTTGAGCAAAGCCATCAATGTTTAAAAAAGGACAAAAATTCCTGTGACTAAATTAATTTCCATGGAAATCACATATTTACAGCCATATTACAATTAGCCAAAACTACTGGGATTCCACTGGCAGGAATGGTAATCCCTGCTGAAAATAAATACATCTTCAAGTTTTATGGAAAAACCTGGAAATTTTCAGCAGCACAATGACAGGCAACTGCTTAAAGAGAATTTGGCAAATCAGTAATTCAGTACAGAAAATCACAACCAAGTTCAAACAAGAAACTAGAATTACTTTTAAAAATTAAATTTCTAACCTGATTCTGTACCTGATATGGATTTCTGTGATTCCATATGGTTTTGGGAGCTGACAGTTAGATACTAATATGAAACTAATGAGATTAACACTCTGGAATCCTGGAGCTTGGTTAGAAGTGTTTCTTGGATGTCATTAAGCCAATGTCTGTTTCTTTATTTTACCATATATAACATTCCATTTTCTCATCTGCATTTGATTTTTATGCATTTTCTCACCCGTTGCCTCTATAGACCCAGATCAAAACTCCCTGTGAATTATATTAAATCAATGTCCCTGTAGAAAACACTCATCCTATACTGGGCACACTATCCATACTAATTCTCTAAGCAAGAGATCATGGCTGTTCAATTAATATGGAAAAAATGCAGGCAATCTAATTCTGGGCCTCTGAGACTTTGGTATTACAGCAGAAAAATTTCTAAGCAGCCTTCTTATACACTGGAAGTGTTATACATGACACACAGGTAAAAACCTGAGACTTCAGTGCTGCCCATGACCAGTAATACCTTGTAAGATTCATGAAGTTTGAGGTCTATGTCCTCAAAAAACTCTAACAAAATCAAGTCACTGGGTACCCATAACAGAAAGAAAGTGACATAGTGTTTGTCTGCTTGGAGTATTCTCATTCTCAAAAACCACTAAGACATGAGACATAGAGACAGTTAACAGTTAATAGCTTGCACTCCAGAAAATCCCCTTGCAGTAATGAATTGGCTACAAAGGTGCCACACAGTTCTAGAAGTGATGACCACACTAAAATAGCCATCAGCTCTTCTACAACTTCCACATCTTACTATCACAATCACTTACAGTAGAAAGTTGAGCCAAAACCTAAAATTATGTTCACAGCCAACAGCTCAGTTCCACTTCCCTTCTTGTCTCACTCTGCAGTAACCTTCCACCTCTGCTGCACTCTGACAAATGGGTAAACTTGATCATCATATAACTTAGGAGAATTTCACCTTCCTATATGAAATTTTAAGGCATACCCATTTAAACTGTAAATAAAATCCCTTTAATTTGAACATGTCACCAACAACAGAGTTGTGGGAGCAAGCAGAAATTGTATGTGGTTACAATGCTGCAAACATGAGTCACATACAATGTATCACGCCTTATTGCTTGCCCAAAACAGAGACAACATTTCTCCAGCTACCACTACTCTTGACCCAGGGATACGTAGCTGGTAATTGGGGAAATTGAGAAACACATAACTAGCAAGCATGTTCATATTGAAAGGTACTACAGATAAATGGAAGAGAGAACCTATCCACTGGGCATCAACTATCTCAACCAGAATGTGTGGAAGAAATAATGGATCTAGACCTAGACTTCCCATACTAAGAAAATAAAAGAAAATCTGGGAAACGTTCCTCCTCAGTATGCAACCATAACAAATGCCCTAGTGAATTCTTAACTATTTTTTTTTTTCTCTGGAAAACACTCCTCTGACAGCAATAGCTTGGCTTGAGTACCCTGGCTAGAATGGCTGGATTCTTGCAGGCAAGTGTTTTGTAGCTGTGAATTCCTCTCTTCCGCCTGTTTGGGATGTGTCACTGTGGGAGCTGATTAAACATACATAAACCATCCCTAGAAAGTGATAATCCAGACCACTGCTCCTCCTCATAAATCCTGATTTGTCACCCATGTCTTTTTGTGTACTTTAGTCTCCTGTTCCAAGTCACACAGGCAGTCTGAATCAGGATCCACCTGGAAAGAAGTTCAAAGCCATCTTTCCTTTTTCTGTTATGGACAGAAAATACAGGCAACAGTGGTGGCAAGCACGCAACATCAGATTTGCTATGAAGTATGGGAGGCAAATGCTGGACAATGGATTAAAAAGAACCATCCAACTGAATAACGTGTGGTTGCCAGAAAACAGTTTCCAACACTTCTCCCAATTTACAACATATTTTATGTGACAGTCTTAGCTTAGTTTTCCCCATTTATAAACAAATTTATATTCAATTGTCTCTGACAACAATGTTAATATTTCAAATCATTCTACGGATTATATCTTTATGTAAGGGGCCGGAGAAAAATGTCCACAGCTCTTTAACCATCCCAAATATACAGTACTAGCATTTTGGCAACCCAATGCTCTTAAGAACCTCAAACAGGGAAAACCCTCAGGAATCCAGTGGGAGCTATAAAAGTTTGGGCACAATTTTGAATTCAAACCATATGATCAGTAAAATCCATGCTTACTTCTACAGCTAAGAAATTTTTCTGGAAATATATTTGGATCATTTGTTCTTACTGCCAGCCATTGTTTTGAAAACCTTCCTAAAGGATCAAATAGTTGCTTTTTAGGTTTTCAGAGCTTCCAAAAGCCTATTTGACTACTTCCTTTGTTCATATGGGCCTCGAACTGAAAAAGCCTTAGAAACCATAAGAAGCGGTTGCTGCCACCCATTCCGAAGAAGGAGCAAAACCAAAATGATAGCAACACTGGTGTCCTCTCCCTTGTCTCGTGCGTCACGCAGCTGCTCCACCAGCCAGAACCATTTATAGTGCACCAGGATGATGCAGAAATCATCTCCTTCCTCTGCACTCCAAATGCTGTAAGCTATTTCATTTCCATATATTCCACTACTCAAAACAGATTTAAAGCATGATGGCTGCTGCTATAAACTCCTCTTTGTGCCAGGGCTTTCATGAAAG